AACTGTTTACAGACTTCTGCACCTTTAGTGATTTGATGATTAGAGGCACTGTGTAAAAACAAGGATATTCACGAAGCGACATGGATTTCACCAGACAACAGGACACACTAAAAATTAGATCAACTTCATCTGAATCTGTAGAAAGTGAAGGCGCAGCCTACTGGACACAAGACCAAGAAGAGGAGCAGAAGTAGGTTCAGACCATTATCTAGTGCAAGAAACCTTCAAAATCAGGATGAAAGCTTTCAATTCAAAGAAGCTTGTAATAGACGACCACAGTTCAACACCCAGAACAGGAACTGAAGGACGAAACTACAAAGGACATCTTCACGTCAGCCATCAAGACAAAATGGGAGGTATCGAGCAACATCCCTGAAGAAACCTGCGTGGATGGACACTGGAACTCTTTGGAGGAGATATGGAAAGAAGAGGAAATAAGACAAGGAATGGATCTCGACGAACACATGAAAAACGATAGAGGAGTGAAAGATGGTGAAGTAGAAGATAAACCAGTGCAAGGATGAACAAGGAAAAGAGGAACTGAACACAACTCACAAAACACTACACTAGACAAAGAAGCGAAGAAGATTGCGTGCAAAGACGAAAGACACTTCTACGAAACACAGGTGGAGCAGAACAGGCTGCTGGTAGGAGAGACCTGACAATATATCAAATAACCAGGTTACTGTCGATCTGGGAAGAGATCAACGCAGACGAAACCAGTGAAAGATAGTGAAGGAAACTTAGTTACCAAAGAGGAGAAACAAAGGAAACATTGGGCTGATCACATCAAAAAACTGAATCGACAACAGGCCACCACCCGCAACTCGTCCAAAAACACCAGTAACCGCAGAACCTCCCGTGTACACAAGCCCTCCGACAAAAGCAGAAGTCCTGAACGCCATGAAGTTGGTGAAATCCAGGAAAGCAGCAGGACTAGATGGAATTCCGCCAGAATTACTGAAAACAGACTCAGAGAAAACAGCGGTCATGCTCACACCACTACTGCAGAAGGTTTGGAAGGAAGGAAAGGTAACTGCCTGTTGATTAGAAAAAGGGCTACCTTGTCATACTCCCAAAGAAGGGAGACCTAAGTCTTTGCTAGAACTGGCGCGGAATCGTGCTCCACTCCCGTCCACACCAAGCAAAATATTAAGCCACATCATCCTGGAGAGATTAAAAGGTGCACTGCATTCAAAATTACGACCGTAACAGACTGACTGGTTTCAGGAAGAACAAATCATGTGCGGATCCAATCGCAACACCACGCTACGCATCATCATAGAACAGATTATAGAATGGCAGTCAACCCCCTAGCTTACCTCAACTTCATCGATTTTGAATTGGCCCTCGACGGCGTCGACCGAGAAGTAGTTTGGAAACTGCTTCAACACTAAGGTTTTTGTACCACAAACCTTTATCAACCTCATTCAACAGCTGTATAAATACACCACATGCCAAGTGATTCACAATGGAAAGCTCAGTGACACCATTGAAGTGGAGATGGGAGTAAGACAAGGCTGCCTATTATCAGAGATCATCTTCCTCATTGTGGTCGACTGAACCGGATCATGCGGCAAACTGTGAAGAAGGAGAAGAGGCGTATACACTCGACAGATGAGAAGACCCTAGGAGATTTGGAGTTCGCCGATGATGATTCATGTCTAATATCTTGTTGCACAAACTCGAAGATCTACAGGTGAAAACTAACATGTTCACAGAAGAGGTAGTGAAGACGGGACTTCCTTCAGGTGAACCTAGAGAAGATAGAGGTGATGAAGATACCCAACCAACAACAATGACGACAAGCACGAATCACCATCAACGAGATAAGTCTAGAGGAAGTTGTCTCCTTCACCTACACCTGACTAGGCAGCATCGTTTCAACTACGGGTGTCACAGATGAGGATGTCGAAACCAGGATCGGAAAGACAGCAAGACAGGCTTTCACTAATGTGAAACCAGTGTGGAGATCTACTGCACTGCACTCAGCATGAAGCGTGAACAAGATCCGGATTTTCAACACCAATCCATTCAAGTCAGTGCCTCTTTGTGATGGTTCAGAGACTTGGAGCGTTATGAAAAGCATTTCCAACAAACTAAAAACATTTATCAACAGCTGCCGCCTACACTCGCTCGATATTGAAGATCAGATCAGATCAGATGGCCAGAATAATAAGAATAAGTAGCAAGGAACTCTGACCTGCCAACGAACCAACGAGCCAAGAACCCATCGTCCAACAAATATGAAGAAGAAAGTGGAGACGGATTGCACATACTCTGACAAGACTATTCGGGGACATCACGCGTCGGGTCACGCCGTCGAGTGGAACCCAAAAGGGAAACGACGAGTTGGGTGTACGACGGTGATAAGAAGGAGATCGTGTGAGGAAGAAATGAAAGCTTCTGGGTAGTTGTGGAACCAGTTTGAAAAGACTGCAGAGAACAGAGTGCAACGGAGACGTGCTATTGAAGCCCTATGTTCCACTAGGAACCCAAAGGACAAATCATCATAACAATAATAATAATAATAATAATAATAATAATAATAATAATAATAGATTTTATTGTAGACCAAAACTCCAAAAACGGGTGTTCCCCTCACGCCAACTATCGGCTATACAGATTCGTTAACGTATCGCACATCGAAATATTTATCAAGGATTGTGGAACCCTTCCAATATGACATTTCAAATATTAAAAATTCACAGGATTTCAAAAATAAACTGTCGAATATACAACCATAAAAGAGGATGAAATTATGATAAGTTTTGATGTGATTTCTCTGTTCACCAGTATACTAATATACGATTGTTTAGGTATTGTAAGAATTACCATTAATAATAATAATGATCAAGAAGTAGTATCTAAATATCCACTTTCAACAGAGGAATAGTTGAGAATAAGCTTAGAATCTACATATTTCATGTTTACAGATAGAATATACCATCAATCAAATGCAGTTGCAATGGGTTCCAACAGCATCTCCAATTGTGGCAAATTTCTATATCAAAAGCTTTGGAAGAAAAACACGTTAAGAAGTGTCTAATATCAAACGAGAATTTGATACAGGTATGTGGATGATACATTTGTCATTCTTGAGAAAGTAAAGCAAAGGATATTTTTGCAACTGAGCTACGGAGTGGTATTCCTTGTCAGTTTTTATTTCTTTCCACTCGCTAGTGTTTGTTTCCCTTGAGTACTTTACGATTTCCTGACACGTTGCTACTACTGGATCATATTCACACTGGCGCCTACTCACGAATTCTTATCACATTCCAGGTGTAACTGAATTGGTGAGTAGGAGCTTGATATTTATTATCGTTTGACTATCTAAGATAGCGGTAGTTTGGCTGACTGTTAATACTGATACTGGGCGATGATTGAAGGTGAACTTATAATTTGAACCATGGGAAGGTTCGAACCGGCGACTACCGTATTTGGTAGAGCGGTTGCTGTGATGGTTGCTGGTTGGAATCCGTCTGTGTTCCAAAGTTTCATTTCACCTTCAGTGATCACCCAATATCAGTATTGCTAGTCTGCAAATCTATGGCTAACGATGGATGTGTAACGATTTCAATGTATTTTGTTAAAGCTAAATGTAAAGTAGTTCAGTTCATTTCAGTGGTAGGAATGATGATTATAACGTCTGCTAGTAACTTCTTTGACTTCAAAATCTACATTAGTGAGTTTAGGTATTTTACTGAGTCGAAAAGATAGAAATGGAAATCCACTCAGCAATTATTTGTACTTCCTCGAAGTAGGTGAAACGAACTGATTACACCACCTGGTTAGCTCGAAGCCTCACTAGATGGAGCTTGTTTTGAACCTCTGGTCCATCTGTTGGAGGTTGAGTGCCTAGGCCAATGATCCATGGCTCTACATTCTACTGAATGGTTTGGACTATATGTACGACACAATGTTGATTTTCCTCATAACTCTTCATCGCAGTTTTCTGTACATTCCTTGGATTTCTATCATTCTAAGGTCGGTGTAAAAACTCGCCCTTCTCTTGTATAGATTTTCAGCATAGGCAATATTGGAATACAAAATTGATCATTGAGACTATTAGTGTATTTACTTTGTGATATTCTGTCGCTTATTTGATACTAGTTGGTTGGAGGCAATCGACAGGAAGCCGTGGACCTGGGTTTTGTGCTTATTGGAACTCATCAGCAAGGTGTGTCTGCAGCCTCGGCGAAATTGATGTCCTGCCTGTGATTCAAACTCACGTCATCTATGTTGTAGCCAGTCACTTTACCATTGAGCTATTCGGGCTTCGGTTGACCTCTTGTAGCACTGGGTTACATGCATGGATTGGTCACGGGAGAGTAACCAATTTCATGTTGTCTATTCGTGAGTGCAGACCGAATCCTACAACATTGGGTGACGTAGGTTTGAATCAGGCGGAACATCAATTCCGTCGAGGTTGCAGATACGCCTTGCTGACGAGTGCCAACAAGCACGAAACCTAGGTTCTGGGCTTCCTGCCGATCGCCTCCAACCAACCAAAGTCTACTGGTGTACACCGCGATGCTGAGACTTCTAGGTTGGCTACATTGCGATTATAATCGATAAGATACGGCCCGCACTCAGGACGGGGTTCGGACCCCAAGGCTCATAACTTGAAGTTTTAACGCATAAGCCAGTAAGCCACAAAGTTGCAACCAGACTTATGAATCTAAAATTATACTACAGTCGTGTATCAGTATAAACTGCCATAATTCATACCAACATAATATGCCAAATGATAAGCGAAAAAACACGAAATTAGTTATGTCGGTATTGGTGAGGTGTGATAGGATAAAGATAAAGAAAAGGTGATGTGAACGAATGTATCTCGCTAGGATCGTCTCTGAACCCTTCTGAACTGTTTATATACTCAAACGAATAAGAATGTAAATGGTTTAATCTTTGGTTCTGATTATCGAGTATGATTTCTAACGATTTCCTAACCTCATATAAACAGCTTTTACTGATTTTTTTCCATTTCTTTTAAGGGCAAGACTCCAGCCGCCAAGAATCATCCCAGCAGCCATCTGTGGGAAGTCGATGTTGGGATTTATTACAACCTGCCCATTTTTATCCGTTCAATATACCTCTTTTAATATCTTCTCGGGGTGGTGAAACTATGGATCGTAACACAGTTAGTGGAGATGCTCATCCTCGTGTCAATCATTCTGCTGCCAATTGTTTAGATTTAAGTGCAGCGCTTATAACTGATACTGCTAGATATTTTGGTGATTCAGATGAAAAACGTTTAGAGAATTATATTTCTATGGCAAATAGTATTTTACCAATTCCATTACCTACTGCTTATTTGATTGCTCTTCGTGAACGAGCTTCAATTTACCAAAAATGGCCTCAACATATTGCGGTTAGTTTTTGCACGTTGCTTATTCAGTTATTCCGTTCTAGTAACTTTTAGTTAATATGCGACAAAAATTGTTTTCTGTCGATAATCTTTTTGTAAGCGTAGTGCAAGTATAAGCTTCACTTAATTTTTAAGTTTGTTAGTTGTGAGCAGTTTTTCGCACTGAGGCTGTGAATCTATTAAGTTTACCGTCATGTAAGCAGGTGATTTCTACTAGCGTTTCATCAGTAGTAGAGTTGTATGGTAGTTATTTCATTACTTAAGGGATGCGACTTATCTCAATGTCCATGTCTCTTTTCAATATCGTTTTAGGAGTATTTATAGACGTACCTTTTGTGTCTATCTAAATAGCGTACAAACTTGAAGTTGTTCTTCCGGGTTACATCACTCGCTTCCATTATATGTAACTTTTATAGATGTCACTACAAAAAAGCATTTCAAATCGACTTTTGGATATCCAGATAAACAACTTCCTAAGAACACAAATACTGACATAGTAACCAGTATTTGTGGCATAATAGTAGTCTGCATGTACTGTGCTGCAGTTCGCTCTGTTTTACTGTGACTGGGAAACATGATTACTGAAGGTACAGGAAATGTCAATGCTTCAGGTCTTCGACCACCGTCGCTTTTTTAACATAAGCCGTGTATCATGATGTCACCGTTTCAGTAACATAGAAGTTAGGTAGAAGAGAAAAGGAAGTCGATGAGGTGGGGGAATCCTCACTGACTGAGGTGGCTTGAAGATGTGTTACGCATGTCCAATCACCATCTGCTACTTTGCACACTGTTAGCTGCAGTAAGTTCAACCTGAAAATAGACTGGAGACATCAACCCATAAAGTCTGTCACTGTTGGTCTATAGTTATCCGATCCCTAAATGGAGATTGAGAACAAGTTACTCGTGAAACCTAGGCATGTTTCAGACCTGCAGGAGGATGCATCGATCAAATTTTCACCCCCTGACAAGTATTAGAGCACAGTTATAATTACTGACGGCCCACACTCGCCATATTCCTTATCTTGAAGGTAGGATTCCACTCTGTCGGCCGTGAGGTGTTGTGGCAGTATCTGACTGACTGTAAAAGGAGTATGGAGAAAGTATGTAACGCTAGTCCAAGGTGTCTACTGGGACTCATGTGTCCGTGTAATGGTTTAAGGAGAATTGTTATGAGAATTGATAGGAATTGGTGGTGTGTGGTACGGGTAGCCGGTGTCACCGTCCGTACTTAGTTTCTTTAGGGATGTGGTAATGTACACATTGGTGTGTGTGTGTGTGTGTGTGTGTGTGACTTTACTGGGACTGATCTGCTCACAGGTGAGCATCTGGATAAGTTGGAGTATTGAGACGATACTGTCGTGTTAGGTGAAGATGCGGATAAAATGCAGAGTGTTGTGAAGTCGTTGAGCATAAATGTGAGTATGTTTGTCATGGTTTCCAGAGCTGTGAAATGTAAGATGTTGTTGCTGGATGACTGACTAGTCTGCGACTACAAGTAGTTTAAGGATAGGGAGTGAGTGAAGTGATTGGATTGGTCGTGAGGGGTTTGTTGCTGACGAGATTTCAGTTTGTATAGAGAAGGCTGGTTTGACATTTTCGAATTTGTGTGATGTGGGATGCGGTGTGGCGAGATATGCGAGTACGTTTTAAGTGACGTTTAAAGTGTTATGCGGTTGGTTGTGTCCTGTTATGTATCAGTGAGACATTGGTGTTAAGAGTGGAAGATGTGAGGCGGTTGTGTGTGTGTGTGTGTGGGGGGGTGGGGGTTTGATGACAGATGTTTTTGTAACGGTGGTGTTTGGTGGAATCACGGTGTGAGTGTATGCCTGAGGTGAGGTGAAGGTTAGTGGTCAAGGAAGTCAAGTCAGTTGGTGAACCTTCATCGGGTGAGATGGCCTTGAGTTTTGTTGTTCACTTGAATCCATTATCTTCCCCGACGTGGCATACTGTTGGCGGATGTTGTATTAGATTTGAAGAGGGTTCAGGTTGGGAAGAATAAGACGTGATATGAGTCGATAAAGTTTCTGACAGTTTTTTTGAGTTTTTTTTTTAGGAGGTGTAGACTGCATGGTTGTTGTCTGGGAGACCATGGGAATCAGTGGTTGAGGAGGACTATTGTTGGTATGGGTGAAAATTGGTTACGATAGCACAGACGTCTTAATCTTTTAATGTTTTTCAAAGATTGAACTGTTTATTCTGTCACACAACTTTGTTCACTTATGCATCACTTTTATTCTATCCACTTCTCTTTGTATACCACTGTGAAGTGTGTTAACTTGAACCGATGAACTTGTATGCGAGGTTCTATGTTTATTTTGTCTGCTGTCTGTCTTTACTGTTGGTATGAACCGTTGAATGGCATTTAAACTTTGTGCTTGGAGTCTGCATGACACCAGAAACCAGTGGTTGAAAAGTTTGGGTGATATGATGCGGAATGGATATATAACTGGTGTAAATGTATCTACCCATTATTTTCATGTTATTCCCCACATTGAATTTCAGTACTGTTTTATTTTGTCATTGCTGTCTTGATGACTAGCCATTATTTTTGACTACTTTCTTCTTTGTTTGTTCATGTTTCATGTTGTTGCATTTTCTATTGATTTGCTGAAATGAAAGTTGGCAACTTAAACTGTTAGGGACTAATCCCAGATCTCATGTTGATATTATCTATCTCAATTGAGTATAATAAAACTATAACACTGACAACAGTTAGGGCACATGGATTTCTCATGAATAAAATCATAGAAATAACGTCATCTATCTGAAACATTCTGTCCAGCTCAAGTTAACAAGTATGCAGTTGATCTCGATAAATTTCTATTTAATTAGTCTGAACCTGAAATAGTAACTACTGACACGTATGACAGTTTTGATTTTATTATTATTTGTCCCTTGGGTTCCTAATGGAACATAGGGCTTCGGTAGCACGTCTCCAATGTGCTCTGTTCTCTGAAATCTTTTGAACCTGTCTTCACGACAGCCCACAAGCTCTCATTTTCTCCTCACACGATCTCCTCCGTGTCACCCTCACCTCGGACGCCCAAATTGTCGTTTCCCATCTGGGTTCCACTCGAGTACCTGGCCTGGTGCGTGATGTCCCCAGTCAGCCTTCTCAGTGTATGCCCAATCCAGTCCATCTCCACTCTCGTCTTCTGCATATTTGTTGGGTAATAGGTTCTTGTTTGGTTCGTCGACAGGCCAGAGTTCCTTGTTGCTTATTCTTATTATTGTGGCCATCTGATCTTGAGTAACGAGTGAGTGTAGGTGGCAGTTGTTGATGATGCGTGTCTGTAGTTTGTTTGGAATGCGTTTCGTAACGCACCAAGTGTCTGAGCCATACAGAATCACTGACTTGACTGGATTGGTGTTGAAACTCCGGATGTTGTTGTTTGTGCTTAGTGCGGTAGATCCCCACACTGATTTCAGGTTAATGAAGGCCTGTCTTGCTTTTCCGATTCTGACTTTGACGTCCTCGTGACAGTTTTGATGGAAAATGAATAATCTCACTTCTTTGATTCCCATGACAACTGAGCAATGCACACTAATGAATTGAAGTGATAATAAAGCCTACAGAGCGTCTGGGTTTGGTATTCAGATAAATAGAGCCCCGGATATTTCAGTCGGAAGACTATTGATTCCATTCTCACCATAGTCGTCGATATTTTTACTCAGCTTCGATCGTCTTCAGAAAATATAACGATGATTCTGTTAACCGAGACTATCTTTAGTAATGTAATTCATTGTTTTTTACGCACTTCTGTCATGATATAGCATCGAGTGAAGTGTATTGAGATCAAGCAATCTGGATGATGATCGAAGGTGAAATGAAAATTTGGATCACGACAGGAATCGAACTCAGTATCACTCAGTATCAATACCAGTCTGCCAAACCATGGCTACCTCAAATAGTTAAAATGTTAATCAATATGTTGCTCCTCCTCTCTGGTTCAGATTTGGATTGGAATGAGAAGTCATGACTGTGCAACCAGTGTGAATACGATCAAGCGGTAGAAACACGTCATGAATTCACATAGTAGTCGGCCAAAACCCTTGTTAATTGACGTGAAATAAAAATCCGGTCAGCAGTTGCACGTCATAGCTCGGTTGATAGAGCACTGGCCGCAACAGTCCTAATTACATGTTACGATATTCTGTTTGTACACTTATTTAAGTCTCTCTCTCACACCTTTGTAATAGAAATAGGTATTACACGACCCGACTGAGTTTAATATCTAGGACTATGTGGCTTATTGGTTCAGGCAGGTTCATAGGTTCGAGGCTCGCTGCACCTATCTAGGTTTAGACAGCCAGTTAGTGTGACTACACCCTTATTACACAAATGGGTGAAGCTCACGGTCTAGTGCACAAACTGCAAAAAGTTGTGTTTTGTTTTCGAATCCCAACCAGTGTTTCAGGAGGTGTCCACTGCAGCATTACTTTTACGCTTCGAATTGTTGAAATCATGATGAGACAACCTCAGTAGTGTATTTTATTCCTTATCTGTGGACGGTTAGATAAGAGTATCTTGCATTTGTTTTGTTTTGTAGATAGATTCACTTTAGAATTGTACTGATATATATTTTGTTATTAAGCTAAATTTATTTTTCTATTTTAGAATTCAAGATTAACTGCTGAACAACGGCATATTTTTAGTAATATTGTCGATCAAAGATTTAGACAATGGTTAATGGAATCGGGTAATTTGCGTCAATTACAACTTTTAGAATTGACTACAGGCCATTTGAATACAACTCAGCCTTCCAATCCTACGAATAATTCACATGATAAGACAGGTGCTCCTTCACAACCTATAGATTCTGTTCTGCTACAAAGTCATCCAGATCATTGTACTCGTATAATTCGTAGTTCGCATACGAACAATCGTACAAGTAATCCTGTCCGAAATGAACGTTTAGGCAATTATTCAAACAGTGCAAACCATCAATACAGTGATGGGCACGTTGATGATCATGGTTACGATGATGGTATATAATAGTAGTGATATAATATATATATATATATATATATATATATATATATATATATATATTCTACGACTGATCTACATTCCAATATAGACTTTTTACTCTTGTTCAAATTATTTCTGTACTATGTTTATTATATCGAGCAAGCGAATAAGTAGTCTTCCATTATGAACAACTATCAGCTGTGATCATTTGTATTTACGTTGGCTTACGCTTGACTATTAACAGCAAACTTGATAATCTTTATTAATTAATTATAATCTTGGAAACCCAGTAGATTTGTGCGTATTATATCATTCTGTAGTTTTACGTCTTCGTATATGTGATTATTATCACCTTTTTTTTTAAGTCCTTGTTGTAGACCTGTATGTAACTGGATAGATGATAGTATGTTTAACTTGTTATATGAAGAAGAAGGAATTCCTTCTTAAGGGTTTCAATCTGAATGATTTGTATAATTTTGCCCACGTTTTAGTATGGTTTTTTTTGTTTCGTAGAGATTGAGGCTTTCTCTACAATGGTATGTGTATACGATCTGACCTGCTAACTTGTATATGATATCATTTTAAACAACTCACTTGTTCTCCTCAGGAATTCCTATTGACAAACATTTTCAGCAGTGAAACTTTCTGTTTACTTTTAAGTGTTGGATGTTATCAGTTTTTGTTCAAATTATCACCTTTTATAATCGAAATTATAATTTTTTAAAGTGTAATGCTATATTCTGATTTTTTGAAAATAAATGTCTAAGCGTGTAAATCTTTCATAGTTTATTTGAAACATTTTTAGCTTTCATGTTGGTTTATTTTTCTTCACTGTAAGATTTTGAAGCATTCAAACTTCAACTAATTTATCACGTTGTTCTGCACATCACTCCTTGACCAATTGGAATACTCGGTGCTGTGAGTAACGCAGACGAATAAAATGAGAATTTTCATGTAAGATTATTGATTGGTATTATATCGATCTGGATGTGTCAAGTCATATGTTGCTGTGGAAGTGGGAACTGAAGTTGTTCATTTCATCTCTGAAGTAGTTTTTGACAACGGGATTCCAGTGGACCGTTTAATAAACGCATTTATCAGCCCAACCCCTTTGTGTGTATGTGTTGCTTTTGGTCGAATATTCTTTTGTATATTGGGAGTTAGGAAACTTGACAAAATCACATCGATGGTGACTAGACGATGACCAATACGGCAGTTATGGTTTCTACAACCGAATAAAATGTTTGTTGTGTATATCGATCCACGGAATTAAAGCAGACGCTCAGTAAACCAGTGACAGTAAGTCGGGAGCAACTGCGTTCACGAAATATCAGTTATTAAGATTCCGGGGTATTGTTATAAGTTGCATAGATTTCTCTATCTTTTGGCGGAAAATTCCAATTCTCCCTAAGCCCCAAATACACCAAGAAAACTACTTGAAGACTTTTTATGTCCTTTCGTTGATCAAGGTTCTTTTATGTGTTACTGTAGTAACCAAATAAGTTTTTCTATTATGAAAAACTGCCCAAAACAGACTAACTTTGTACTAATTATGTTAAACCTGTAAAACTAAATAGCTTATACTGAAGTTTGTTCTTGATTCACATCAGCTTGAGCTGAATCGATGCATTGGATATCTCTGGTTGATCAAATCTCTTTCGTCTATGTACATGGTTCATTCGAACATCCCAACTCTCTGACCAGATCATTGAGCATTAGATGAATTATGGTGTATTTTATCATAAACTTTGTTGGTTTTATACAGTTATGAGGTTTATACGTTTCATTTTGGATCTTCAAAGTTGATACTAGTGTCTTTGTACATATGTTGTTGGTAGGGTTGCGATGCGGAGAACCAGTGGAAAAGGTGCAGTGTTCAGATAGTTGACTAGAGAGTCATACTCACTCTGCATCTATTCTTGTTGTGTGGTGATTTGGAGTCATTTACCCTGACCACTATCGTTTAGGCAGTCTGGCGACAGCATCATTCATTACTTGCTGAAGAGGTTGCACATGCTCTGTGTCTTATTTTTGTTCGAGATTTATTATCCTATTCGGATTTTCTGTCAAGAAGAGTTAGTCCTATATTGTGCAGTGTGCTTTCAGATCTACAGAATCGTTGAGTTTAGACCGTATTACTGTTGGATAAATTGGCGTATTGGGTGGAAATTATTACTTACTAGTGAGTAGTATGATGCGATAAACAGTAAATACCATCTCTTTGATAGGCATGCACACTCATGTTGGTGTGCATAAATCATGTTTTGTTTTAATAATGAATATTTATTAGTGAGCATGGAAATTCTCAGAGGAGACTAACTATAAGGGATACACCATTTCTTAACTAGAGCCCTAAAAATCCTTTTGTAAACTACTGATTACTGCTTACTGACTCAGTCATTTATTACGCTGATGTAATTTATGAGTAGTATGTTATAGCATACACAATTCATTGGCATTCTACCCGTTAAATTTTGAAGTTTAAACAAGTGAACATATATATTTCAGTTTGTTTAGTGAGAACGATGGTTATAGTCTATAAGAAAGTGGTCTTTTTAATGAGTACAGACATCAAAACGCCTAAAGTTCATTTTCTTTTAGTTTCTTCCCCTCAATTAATCTGAACGTTTATCAAAATGCACTCAACAACCTTCTGTATATTCGTGCAGTAGCCGATGAACCACACCTAATTCTTGAGGGTAAGTGATGCTACCTTGCAGCCTAAACCTCCCTATCTAGAGCGAGAAAGATGGAAAAGACATCAGAGTTGGATAACACCCAGAAACTATTTAGACCAGAAGAAGACGATGGTTAGTGAAACCATCACCGAAAAAAATGGGATGCTCATGGTGACTCAGGACATATGTGGAGAACGTTATACAGAACACTCAGATGCGCAGTCAAGCCGACCCACAGTAACGCTTCAGTTGTCCCGCATCCAGCCTACACCTGAATGGAGCATGAATATCGATCCTCCAACACTCGTCGAAGTTGAGAAGCGTGTGTCAAACTTAAAACAGTGCAAAGCAGCTGGAAGTGACAGCTTGCTACCCGAAGTTTTCAAGGATAGAAGTAGGAAATTGCTGACTAGAGTAAGGCGGTTACTAGGTAGTGTATGGGAATCAGAGGTAGTGTCGTCAGACTGGTGTAATTCACTGGTCATTCCGGTTTATAAGAAGCGTGAGTAGTCTTCCTGTGAAAACCAAAAGGGAATTAGGTTGATATATTTCGTGTTTAAGATTTTTGGGTCCATAGTTATCCCATGGCTGAATGGAACTTGAAAACAACAAACTTGTGAAACCTAGGCATGTTTCAGACCTGCAGGAGGATGCATCGACCAGATTTTCACACTCCGATAAGTATTAGAGCACAGGTATAATTACTGGCAGCCCACACTTGCGATATTCCTTATCCTGAAGGTAGGATTCCACTCTGTCGGCCATGAGGTGTTGTGGCAGTATCTGACTGACTGTAAAAGGAGTATGGAGAAAGTATGTAACGCTAGTCCAAGGTGTCTACTGGGACTCATGTGTCCGTGTAATGGTTTAAGGAGAATTGTCATGAGAATTGATAGGAATTGGTGGTGTGTGGTACGGGTAGCCGATGTCACCGTCCGTACTTAGTTTCTTTAGGGATGTGGTAATGTACACATTGGTGTGTGTGTGTGTGTGTGTGTGACTTTACTGGGACTGATCTGCTCACAGGTGAGCATCTGGATAAGTTGGAGTATTGAGACGATACTGTCGTGTTAGGTGAAGATGTTTTTGTAACGGCGGTGTTTGCTGGAATCACGGTGTGAGTGTATGCCTGAGGTGAGGTGAAGGTTAGTGGTCAAGGAAGTCAAGTCAGTTGGTGAACCTCCATCGGGTGAGATAGCCTTGGGTTGTGTTGTTCACTTGAATCCATTATCTTCCCCGACGTGGCATACTGTTGGCGGATGTTGTATTAGATTTGAAGAGGGTTCAGGTTGGGAAGAATAAGACGTGATATGAGTCGATAAAGTTTCTGACAGTTTTTTTGAGTTTTTTTTTTAGGAGGTGTAGACTGCATGGTTGTTGTCTGGGAGACCATGGGAATCAGTGGTTGAGGAGGACTATTGTTGGTATGGGTGAAAATTGGTTACGATAGCACAGACGTCTTAATCTTTTAATGTTTTTCAAAGATTGAACTGTTTATTCTGTCACACAACTTTGTTCACTTATGCATCACTTTTATTCTATCCACTTTTCTTTGTATACCACTGTGAAGGCTCATAACTTGAAGTTTTAACGCATAAGCCAGTAAGCCACAAAGTTGCAACCAGACTTATGAATCTAAAATTATACTACAGTCGTGTATCAGTATAAACTGCCATAATTCATACCAACATAATATGCCAAATGATAAGCGAAAAAACACGAAATTAGTTATGTCGGTATTGGTGAGGTGTGATAGGATAAAGATAAAGAAAAGGTGATGTGAACGAATGTATCTCGCTAGGATCGTCTCTGAACCCTTCTGAACTGTTTATATACTCAAACGAATAAGAATGTAAATGGTTTAATCTTTGGTTCTGATTATCGAGTATGATTTCTAACGATTTCCTAACCTCATATAAACAGCTTTTACTGATTTTTTTCCATTTCTTTTAAGGGCAAGACTCCAGCCGCCAAGAATCATCCCAGCAGCCATCTGTGGGAAGTCGATGTTGGGATTTATTACAACCTGCCCATTTTTATCCGTTCAATATACCTCTTTTAATATCTTCTCGGGGTGGTGAAACTATGGATCGTAACACAGTTAGTGGAGATGCTCATCCTCGTGTCAATCATTCTGCTGCCAATTGTTTAGATTTAAGTGCAGCGCTTATAACTGATACTGCTAGATATTTTGGTGATTCAGATGAAAAACGTTTAGAGAATTATATTTCTATGGCAAATAGTATTTTACCAATTCCATTACCTACTGCTTATTTGATTGCTCTTCGTGAACGAGCTTCAATTTACCAAAAATGGCCTCAACATATTGCGGTTAGTTTTTGCACGTTGCTTATTCAGTTATTCCGTTCTAGTAACTTTTAGTTAATATGCGACAAAAATTGTTTTCTGTCGATAATCTTTTTGTAAGCGTAGTGCAAGTATAAGCTTCACTTAATTTTTAAGTTTGTTAGTTGTGAGCAGTTTTTCGCACTGAGGCTGTGAATCTATTAAGTTTACCGTCATGTAAGCAGGTGATTTCTACTAGCGTTTCATCAGTAGTAGAGTTGTATGGTAGTTATTTCATTACTTAAGGGATGCGACTTATCTCAATGTCCATGTCTCTTTTCAATATCGTTTTAGGAGTATTTATAGACGTACCTTTTGTGTCTATCTAAATAGCGTACAAACTTGAAGTTGTTCTTCCGGGTTACATCACTCGCTTCCATTATATGTAACTTTTATAGATGTCACTACAAAAAAGCATTTCAAATCGACTTTTGGATATCCAGATAAACAACTTCCTGAGAACGCAAATACTGGCATTTCATTATTGTTATTAGTCCCTTGGGTTCCTAATGGAACATAGGGCTTCGGTAGCACGTCTCCAATGTGCTCTGTTCTCTGAAATCTTTTGAACCTGTCTTCACGACAGCCCACAAGCTCTCATTTTCTCCTCACACGATCTCCTCCGTGTCACCCTCACCTCGGACGCCCAAATTGTCGTTTCCCATCTGGGTTCCACTCGAGTACCTGGCCTGGTGCGTGATGTCCCCAGTCAGCCTTCTCAGTGTATGCCCAATCCAGTCCATCTCCACTCTCGTCTTCTGCATATTTGTTGGGTAATAGGTTCTTGTTTGGTTCGTCGACAGGCCAGAGTTCCTTGTTGCTTATTCTTATTATTGTGGCCATCTGATCTTGAGTAACGAGTGAGTGTAGGTGGCAGTTGTTGATGATGCGTGTCTGTAGTTTGTTTGGAATGCGTTTCGTAACGCACCAAGTGTCTGAGCCATACAGAATCACTGACTTGACTGGATTGGTGTTGAAACTCCGGATGTTGTTGTTTGTGCTTAGTGCGGTAGATCCCCACACTGATTTCAGGTTAATGAAGGCCTGTCTTGCTTTTCCGATTCTGACTTTGACGTCCTCGTGACAGTTTTGATGGAAAATGAATAATCTCACTTCTTTGATTCCCATGACAACTGAGCAATGCACACTAATGAATTGAAGTGATAATAAAGCCTACAGAGCGTCTGGGTTTGGTATTCAGATAAATAGAGCCCCGGATATTTCAGTCGGAAGACTATTGATTCCATACTCACCATAGTCGTTGATATTTTTTACTCAGCTTCGATTGTCTTCAGAAAATATAACGATAATCCTGTTAGCCGAGACTATCTTCAGTTATGTAATTCATTGTTTTTTACGCACTTCTGTCATGATATAGCATCGAGTGAAGTGTATTGAGATCAAGCAATCTGGATGATGATCGAAGGTGAAATGAAAATTTGGATCGCGACAGGAATCGAACTCAGTATCACTCAGTATCAATACCAGTCTGCCGAACCATGGCTACCTCAAATAGTTAAAATGTTAATCAATATGTTGCTCCTCCTCTCTGGTTCAGATTTGGATTGGAATGAGAAGTCATGACTGTGCAACCAGTGTGAATACGATCAAGCGGTAGAAACACGTCATGAATTCACATAGTAGTCGGCCAAAACCCTTGTTAATTGACGTGAAATAAAAATCCGGTCAGCAGTTGCACGTCATAGCTCGGTTGATAGAGCACTGGCCGCAACAGTCCTAATTACATGTTACGATATTCTGTTTGTACACTTATTTAAGTCTCTCTCTCACACCTTTGTAATAGAAATAGGTATTACACGACCCGACTGAGTTTAATATCTAGGACTATGTGGCTTATTGGTTCAGGCAGGTTCATAGGTTCGAGGCTCGCTGCACCTATCTAGGTTTAGACAGCCAGTTAGTGTGACTACACCCTTATTACACAAATGGGTGAAGCTCACGGTCTAGTGCACAAACTGCAAAAAGTTGTGTTTTGTTTTCGAATCCCAACCAGTGTTTCAGGAGGTGTCCACTGCAGCATTACTTTTACGCTTCGAATTGTTGAAATCATGATGAGACAACCTCAGTAGTGTATTTTATTCCTTATCTGTGGACGGTTAGATAAGAGTATCTTGCATTTGTTTTGTTTTGTAGATAGATTCACTTTAGAATTGTACTGATATATATTTTGTTATTAAGCTAAATTTATTTTTCTATTTTAGAATTCAAGATTAACTGCTGAACAACGGCATATTTTTAGTAATATTGTCGATCAAAGATTTAGACAATGGTTAATGGAATCGGGTAATTTGCGTCAATTACAACTTTTAGAATTGACTACAGGCCATTTGAATACAACTCAGCCTTCCAATCCTACGAATAATTCACATGATAAGACAGGTGCTCCTTCACAACCTATAGATTCTGTTCTGCTACAAAGTCATCCAGATCATTGTACTCGTATAATTCGTAGTTCGCATACGAACAATCGTACAAGTAATCCTGTCCGAAATGAACGTTTAGGCAATTATTCAAACAGTGCAAACCATCAATACAGTGATGGGCACGTTGATGATCATGGTTACGATGATGGTATATAATAGTAGTGATATAATATATATATATATATATATATATATATATATATATATATATTCTACGACTGATCTACATTCCAATATAGACTTTTTACTCTTGTTCAAATTATTTCTGTACTATGTTTAATTATATCGAGCAAGCGAATAAGTAGTCTTCCATTATGAACAACTATCAGCTGTGATCATTTGTATTTACGTTGGCTTACGCTTGACTATTAACAGCAAACTTGATAATCTTTATTAATTAATTATAATCTTGGAAACCCAGTAGATTTGTGCGTATTATATCATTCTGTAGTTTTACGTCTTCGTATATGTGATTACTATCACCTTTTTTTTTAAGTCCTTGTTGTAGACCTGTATGTAACTGGATAGATGATAGTATGTTTAACTTGTTATATGAAGAAGAAGGAATTCCTTCTTAAGGGTTTCAATCTGAATGATTTGTATAATTTTGCCCACGTTTTAGTATGGTTTTTTTTGTTTCGTAGAGATTGAGGCTTTCTCTACAATGGTATGTGTATACGATCTGACCTGCTAACTTGTATATGATATCATTTTAAACAACTCACTTGTTCTCCTCAGGAATTCCTATTGACAAACATTTTCAGCAGTGAAACTTTCTGTTTACTTTTAAGTGTTGGATGTTATCAGTTTTTGTTCAAATTATCACCTTTTATAATCGAAATTATAATTTTTTAAAGTGTAATGCTATATTCTGATTTTTTGAAAATAAATGTCTAAGCGTGTAAATCTTTCATAGTTTATTTGAAACATTTTTAGCTTTCATGTTGGTTTATTTTTCTTCACTGTAAGATTTTGAAGCATTCAAACTTCAACTAATTTATCACGTTGTTCTGCACATCACTCCTTGACCAATTGGAATACTCGGTGCTGTGAGTAACGCAGACGAATAAAATGAGAATTTTCATGTAAGATTATTGATTGGTATTATATCGATCTGGATGTGTCAAGTCATATGTTGCTGTGGAAGTGGGAACTGAAGTTGTTCATTTCATCTCTGAAGTAGTTTTTGACAACGGGATTCCAGTGGACCGTTTAATAAACGCATTTATCAGCCCAACCCCTTTGTGTGTATGTGTTGCTTTTGGTCGAATATTCTTTTGTATATTGGGAGTTAGGAAACTTGACAAAATCACATCGATGGTGACTAGACGATGACCAATACGGCAGTTATGGTTTCTACAACCGAATAAAATGTTTGTTGTGTATATCGATCCACGGAATTAAAGCAGACGCTCAGTAAACCAGTGACAGTAAGTCGGGAGCAACTGCGTTCACGAAATATCAGTTATTAAGATTCCGGGGTATTGTTATAAGTTGCATAGATTTCTCTATCTTTTGGCGGAAAATTCCAATTCTCCCTAAGCCCCAAATACACCAAGAAAACTACTTGAAGACTTTTTATGTCCTTTCGTTGATCAAGGTTCTTTTATGTGTTACTGTAGTAACCAAATAAGTTTTTCTATTATGAAAAACTGCCCAAAACAGACTAACTTTGTACTAATTATGTTAAACCTGTAAAACTAAATAGCTTATACTGAAGTTTGTTCTTGATTCACATCAGCTTGAGCTGAATCGATGCATTGGATATCTCTGGTTGATCAAATCTCTTTCGTCTATGTACATGGTTCATTCGAACATCCCAACTCTCTGACCAGATCATTGAGCATTAGATGAATTATGGTGTATTTTATCATAAACTTTGTTGGTTTTATACAGTTATGAGGTTTATACGTTTCATTTTGGATCTTCAAAGTTGATACTAGTGTCTTTGTACATATGTTGTTGGTAGGGTTGCGATGCGGAGAACCAGTGGAAAAGGTGCAGTGTTCAGATAGTTGACTAGAGAGTCATACTCACTCTGCATCTATTCTTGTTGTGTGGTGATTTGGAGTCATTTACCCTGACCACTATCGTTTAGGCAATCTGGCGACAGCATCATTCATTACTTGCTGAAGAGGTTGCACATGCTCTGTGTCTTATTTTTGTTCGAGATTTATTATCCTATTCGGATTTTCTGTCAAGAAGAGTTAGTCCTATATTGTGCAGTGTGCTTTCAGATCTACAGAATCGTTGAGTTTAGACCGTATTACTGTTGGATAAATTGGCGTATTGGGTGGAAATTATTACTTACTAGTGAGTAGTATGATGCGATAAACAGTAAATACCATCTCTTTGATAGGCATGCACACTCATGTTGGTGTGCATAAATCATGTTTTGTTTTAATAATGAATATTTATTAGTGAGCATGGAAATTCTCAGAGGAGACTAACTATAAGGGATACACCATTTCTTAACTAGAGCCCTAAAAATCCTTTTGTAAACTACTGATTACTGCTTACTGACTCAGTCATTTATTACGCTGATGTAATTTATGAGTAGTATGTTATAGCATACACAATTCATTGGCATTCTACCCGTTAAATTTTGAAGTTTAAACAAGTGAACATATATATTTCAGTTTGTTTAGTGAGAACGATGGTTATAGTCTATAAGAAAGTGGTCTTTTTAATGAGTACAGACATCAAAACGCCTAAAGTTCATTTTCTTTTAGTTTCTTCCCCTCAATTAATCTGAACGTTTATCAAAATGCACTCAACAACCTTCTGTATATTCGTGCAGTAGCCGATGAACCACACCTAATTCTTGAGGGTAAGTGATGCTACCTTGCAGCCTAAACCTCCCTATCTAGAGCGAGAAAGATGGAAAAGACATCAGAGTTGGATAACACCCAGAAACTATTTAGACCAGAAGAAGACGATGGTTAGTGAAACCATCACCGAAAAAAATGGGATGCTCATGGTGACTCAGGACATATGTGGAGAACGTTATACAGAACACTCAGATGCGCAGTCAAGCCGACCCACAGTAACGCTTCAGTTGTCCCGCATCCAGCCTACACCTGAATGGAGCATGAATATCGATCCTCCAACACTCGTCGAAGTTGAGAAGCGTGTGTCAAACTTAAAACAGTGCAAAGCAGCTGGAAGTGACAGCTTGCTACCCGAAGTTTTCAAGGATAGAAGTAGGAAATTGCTGACTAGAGTAAGGCGGTTACTAGGTAGTGTATGGGAATCAGAGGTAGTGTCGTCAGACTGGTGTAATTCACTGGTCATTCCGGTTTATAAGAAGCGTGAGTAGTCTTCCTGTGAAAACCAAAAGGGAATTAGGTTGATATATTTCGTGTTTAAGATTTTTGGGTCCATAGTTATCCCATGGCTGAATGGAACTTGAAAACAACAAACTTGTGAAACCTAGGCATGTTTCAGACCTGCAGGAGGATGCATCGACCAGATTTTCACACTCCGATAAGTATTAGAGCACAGGTATAATTACTGGCAGCCCACACTTGCGATATTCCTTATCCTGAAGGTAGGATTCCACTCTGTCGGCCGTGAGGTGTTGTGGCAGTATCTGACTGACTGTAAAAGGAGTATGGAGAAAGTATGTAACGCTAGTCCAAGGTGTCTACTGGGACTCATGTGTCCGTGTAATGGTTTAAGGAGAATTGTTATGAGAATTGATAGGAATTGGTGGTGTGTGGTACGGGTAGCCGGTGTCACCGTCCGTACTTAGTTTCTTTAGGGATGTGGTAATGTACACATTGGTGTGTGTGTGACTTTACTGGGACTGATCTGCTCACAGGTGAGCATCTGGATAAGTTGGAGTATTGAGACGATACTGTCGTGTTAGGTGAAGATGTTTTTGTAACGGCGGTGTTTGCTGGAATCACGGTGTGAGTGTATACCTGAGTTGAGGTGAAGGTTAGTGGTCAAGGAAGTCAAGTCAGTTGGTGAACCTCCATCGGGTGAGATAGCCTTGGGTTGTGTTGTTCACTTGAATCCATTATCTTCCCCGACGTGGCATACTGTTGGCGGATGTTGTATTAGATTTGAAGAGGGTTCAGGTTGGGAAGAATAAGACGTGATATGAGTCGATAAAGTTTCTGACAGTTTTTTTGAGTTTTTTTTTTAGGAGGTGTAGACTGCATGGTTGTTGTCTGGGAGACCATGGGAATCAGTGGTTGAGGAGGACTATTGTTGGTATGGGTGAAAATTGGTTACGATAGCACAGACGTCTTAATCTTTTAATGTTTTTCAAAGATTGAACTGTTTATTCTGTCACACAACTTTGTTCACTTATGCATCACTTTTATTCTATCCACTTTTCTTTGTATACCACTGTGAAGGCTCATAACTTGAAGTTTTAACGCATAAGCCAGTAAGCCACAAAGTTGCAACCAGACTTATGAATCTAAAATTATACTACAGTCGTGTATCAGTATAAACTGCCATAATTCATACCAACATAATATGCCAAATGATAAGCGAAAAAACACGAAATTAGTTATGTCGGTATTGGTGAGGTGTGATAGGATAAAGATAAAGAAAAGGTGATGTGAACGAATGTATCTCGCTAGGATCGTCTCTGAACCCTTCTGAACTGTTTATATACTCAAACGAATAAGAATGTAAATGGTTTAATCTTTGGTTCTGATTATCGAGTATGATTTCTAACGATTTCCTAACCTCATATAAACAGCTTTTACTGATTTTTTTCCATTTCTTTTAAGGGCAAGACTCCAGCCGCCAAGAATCATCCCAGCAGCCATCTGTGGGAAGTCGATGTTGGGATTTATTACAACCTGCCCATTTTTATCCGTTCAATATACCTCTTTTAATATCTTCTCGGGGTGGTGAAACTATGGATCGTAACACAGTTAGTGGAGATGCTCATCCTCGTGTCAATCATTCTGCTGCCAATTGTTTAGATTTAAGTGCAGCGCTTATAACTGATACTGCTAGATATTTTGGTGATTCAGATGAAAAACGTTTAGAGAATTATATTTCTATGGCAAATAGTATTTTACCAATTCCATTACCTACTGCTTATTTGATTGCTCTTCGTGAACGAGCTTCAATTTACCAAAAATGGCCTCAACATATTGCGGTTAGTTTTTGCACGTTGCTTATTCAGTTATTCCGTTCTAGTAACTTTTAGTTAATATGCGACAAAAATTGTTTTCTGTCGATAATCTTTTTGTAAGCGTAGTGCAAGTATAAGCTTCACTTAATTTTTAAGTTTGTTAGTTGTGAGCAGTTTTTCGCACTGAGGCTGTGAATCTATTAAGTTTACCGTCATGTAAGCAGGTGATTTCTACTAGCGTTTCATCAGTAGTAGAGTTGTATGGTAGTTATTTCATTACTTAAGGGATGCGACTTATCTCAATGTCCATGTCTCTTTTCAATATCGTTTTAGGAGTATTTATAGACGTACCTTGTGTGTCTATCTAAATAGCGTACAAACTTGAAGTTGTTCTTCCGGGTTACATCACTCGCTTCCATCATATGTAACCCTTATAGATGTCACTACAAAAAAGCATTTCAAATCGACTTTTGGATATCCAGATAAACAACTTCCTAAGAACACAAATACTGACATAGTAACCAGTATTTGTGGCATAATAGTAGTCTGCATGTACTGTGCTGCAGTTCGCTCTGTTTTACTGTGACTGGGAAACATGATTACTGAAGGTACAGGAAATGTCAATGCTTCAGGTCTTCGACCACCGTCGCTTTTTTAACATAAGCCGTGTATCATGATGTCACCGTTTCAGTAACATAGAAGTTAGGTAGAAGAGAAAAGGAAGTCGATGAGGTGGGGGAATCCTCACTGACTGAGGTGGCTTGAAGATGTGTTACGCATGTCCAATCACCATCTGCTACTTTGCACACTGTTAGCTGCAGTAAGTTCAACCTGAAAATAGACTGGAGACATCAACCCATAAAGTCTGTCACTGTTGGTCTATAGTTATCCGATGCCCAAACGGAGATTGAGAACAAGGGACTCGCGAAAACCAGGAAGGTTCCAGATTTGGACGAGGGTTCATTGACCAGATTTCAAACCCTCCGACGAGTATAAGAGCACAGTTATAATTACTGACGGCCCACACTTGCCATATTCCTTATCCTGAAGGTAGGATTCCACTCTGTCGGCCGTGAGGTGTTGTGGCAGTATCTGACTGACTGTAAAAGGAGTATGGAGAAAGTATGTAACGCTAGTCCAAGGTGTCTACTGGGACTCATGTGTCCGTGTAATGGTTTAAGGAGAATTGTCATGAGAATTGATAGGAATTGGTGGTGTGTGGTACGGGTAGCCGGTGTCACCGTCCGTACTTAGTTTCTTTAGGGATGTGGTAATGTACACATTGGTGTGTGTGTGTGTGTGTGTGTGTGTGTGTGTGTGTGTGTGTGACTTTACTGGGACTGATCTGCTCACAGGTGAGCATCTGGATAAGTTGGAGTATTGAGACGATACTGTCGTGTTAGGTGAAGATGCGGATAAAATGCAGAGTGTTGTGAAGTCGTTGAGCATAAATGTGAGTATGTTTGTCATGGTTTCCAGAGCTGTGAAATGTAAGATGTTGTTGCTGGATGACTGACTAGTCTGCGACTACAAGTAGTTTAAGGATAGGGAGTGAGTGAAGTGATTGGATTGGTCGTGAGGGGTTTGTTGCTGACGAGATTTCAGTTTGTATAGAGAAGGCTGGTTTGACATTTTCGAATTTGTGTGATGTGGGATGCGGTGTGGCGAGATATGCGAGTACGTTTTAAGTGACGTTTAAAGTGTTATGCGGTTGGTTGTGTCCTGTTATGTATCAGTGAGACATTGGTGTTAAGAGTGGAAGATGTGAGGCGGTTGTGTGTGTGTGTGTGTGGGGGGGGTGGGGGTTTGATGACAGATGTTTTTGTAACGGTGGTGTTTGGTGGAATCACGGTGTGAGTGTATGCCTGAGGTGAGGTGAAGGTTAGTGGTCAAGGAAGTCAAGTCAGTTGGTGAACCTTCATCGAGTGGATGACGTAAGTGTAGAATGATAGGAAAATGTTTTAAGTAATGATTTCAAATCGTTTCTAAGGTGCATGTAAATTGAGAAAAGAGGGAAAACATGATAGAGTAAATAAACAATCCAGGGAATAGGTAATATGAGACAACTTAATTGAAAACGTTTGATTAAAATTTGCGATTATTTGGAAGATCAAATGAAATGACACCAGAAACAATTAAATATAAAAGTAAAGTGATAATGACGATGTTAGAGTACAAAGATTATTCTGACATAAAGAGGTGGGGGTGGGATACGAAAAAGGAACGAAGCACACAAAAACTGAAATAAATTAAGGCCAGAGTAGAGACAAACACTACATACTTCTTTTGCATACAAATTTTGGGCTTCTGTTCATGGATAGCCAAGGCCACTGCTTTTTTTAGAAGCTGAACACGAAGGAAACGTGAGGTGTTTGAGCGAATTCGATAGACAACCCTAAAATCATTGTTTGGGTCGGTTGAGTGGTTGGAATCGATTAAATGCTCAATTATAGAACTTCTGATGCACTTTCTTTCACCCTTATAAAATCAGGCCGGAATATGTTCTCGTATATGTGTTGACAGCAGTCTTTGACTACGGACGACGTACGTTGCTTCACAGGAGTAGGTGAACTGGTAGATACACATGGCCTGTAGTGGGATATTGTCTTTTATACAAACAGAGAACAATTTACAACTGGTAAAGATCAAGTGAAGTTTGGCTGAGAAAAACGTCCTACTAATTGATCTGGAAAGACGATTTTTCAGGATATCTTATGATGCATCAGCTTTGAAGTCGAGATTCATGAACAGTGTCTTTTTAAAAACTGAGCTGATGACTAGTTTCGCATGTCTTTCTTGCATATTCTTATCGATAACTCGGCTGGGATAGCCGTTCTCCACGAGCCTCCCTCTTAGAAAGTCAAGTTCAACTTGGATACAGTCCGTGTTACAAATATTGCGTATTCGTTAGCAGAGTGAGTGAATGAAGTTTCTCTCCCTCATGCACAGCACCCAGCTATAGAAATTAGTAAGCTGTCCATTCCATGTGGGTTTCTGTAGGTGGATCTTTTCAGCGTTCCATTGCTATGTCTCGTAATCAACACGTCAAGGAAAGGACTAGCTAATTCCAATTCCTTCTCACTGGTGAATTCCAACACTGGGCGACAATTGTTAAACTCGCATAGGATGTTATCCAGATCGATAGTTGTGTCGCAAATAACGAATACATCACACATATATCGTTTATAGATGTCAAAATGACCAATAGTTTGGCTAAGAATAGAATTTTCTAGTTTTGACAAGAAACAATCTGCCACTAGAGGTCCTAGTGGGTATACCATTGCAATCCCATCATTTTGTCGGTATTTCTCACCATGGAAACTAGATTGCACATTAAAAATGTATATCATGAATAGCTCTCTCAAGTAGTTTGTTGGAATTCCTACTTCTATGTTGTGTGTATCGGTGAAATTATATATGTAACAAATAGTTTCAGTGGATGGTACACGGGTGAATAGTGAAGTAACACCTTAGAAAAACACAACTTTACCAATAGTGTCAACATCCTTAATGCTATCACTAAACTGAAATGTATCATGTAAAGAACAATGAGATACTTATCTTCTGACTGATTCCAGTATTTCAGCTGTCCACTGGGCTGTACAGCTTGAGAATAAATTCCTTGGAAAGAGTCCTTTTCGCTGAATATCTTGTTTTTAATATCATAATGGGAATTAAAAATATAATCAATCAATTTGACTAACTTACAACTTGTGGCGTCACACACTTCCCCAAAATCAATAGCCTAGGGTTTGACGACTTTCGACATTGATGCTGACCCTGATAGTTTAACTGGACTCGCTAAGCTGAAGGCACCCGGTCAAGCATCCTGGCAATTTGGCACACTATCGTGTTACATTACATTGCTCGTATTCGACTCTCTAGCCAGTTAGTTGGAACGCATCGTTATTTTGGCACAACCATCCAAATACACTATTCCATCCAACTACGCTATCGTGTTCTTCCTTGGTCTCATATTCGTGGGTATATAACAAGTCCGAATAATTAGTGATTGGTCTTTGCGTCTGTCAAGTTCGCACCAGGACAAATCCTAAAAACTTTTAATATCAGTACATTACAATTTTATATTCCTATATGAAATAATAACACCTAATGGACTGTTTATAAAATAGAGATCAAGAATATTTAAGTTTAGTGTGATGAAAAGGTATAGATTACGTTTGTGTTCGTTGAAAACATATTCCTCTTAACGTATGTTTAACACGTGAAATTCATATCCATTTGTTAGATTGGTAATCTAACTAGGTATAAAGGTGAGTAGAGTTAGGTAATCATGCAACACCTACCATATGGAGTATGCTTTACTCAACCGTCTAGCTTACTTAACAAACTGTAAAGTTATTACGACAAAAACAAATATCATTCAGTAGTCGTATGGTACTTTGCTGTACTTGTACTAGGTGATAATTGGGAGGTGAAATGAAAATCTGTGTCGCGGCAAGATTCGAACAAGTGGCTTTCGGGCTATTGGTTCGGTGCTCTACAAACTGAGCTATGGGAACCGTCTACAATGAGATCAAACGACAATAAGTGAAACAGCTGTTTCGATTTCAAGGCCACTTAGACTGTTGATCAATAATTTGTTTTCATAAAAGCATCTTCATGTTGATATGCTTAGATATAGACGTCATGAAGCCAGTTGAAGCATTCACAGTTTATTGTATTCATATGGACCAAAAGATTATCTGAATCTGGTGTTGACGAAAATAAATATTCTGTTACGATTATTTTAAAGAAGAAAATGACAACTGAGTCAAGAAAATGGATAACTGAATCTCCTAGATAAACGAGTGAATATAATACAACGTACAATGACCTGATGTCCAAGGATTTACATCTGCTCATTATATGTTCGTTGTTTGATAGAGAAAATGAGACTAACTCTTGAGAAATCGGTAGTATACAGATTTAGAAAGTGTTTCTATTTCAATGGTAGGTTAAACAGACAAAATCAACGTAAAAGTGAATCTGTTCAAGTCACCACATTTCACAGTAGCAATTGGATGAAAAAAGAGTGATGTCAAGATAGACAAAAGTGTATACGAGTAGGAGGAATTTTAAGGAGATGAAAGTTAGTGAAAATATATGAACTTGACAAAATGTCAAAGAATGAGTACATCTGTTCGATTGTAATCTATTCTCATGCATGTCACTAAGAATTTTGAGCCATTGAATCCCTCGTTCTCAGGAATCCAAACTATACAGTCTACACAACTCAAACCAACAGTCAGAGGCTTCAAGCACTGGTGCAACATTTTTGTCTGGTAACCTCGTTCAACCTAAATCCATATGGGCTAATATTTCACTTCGGGAGAGTTGGTGGCTCGATATGCACGACCTTATCGACTCTCTTATCTTCCTAAACTAATACTCTTCATCTAACCTCGATATTGCTAACATAGTGACTGCACCATACGCTAGTAATTCTACCTAGTATACCTAGTATACCTAGCCTAGTATACTTGTCCTATAACAAACATGAAAGAAGAATTAGTATTTCAGCGGAGTCTCTTTTCAGCGATTTCATTTTCAAAACTGTATAAAAGCAAATATATATATATTTTTCTAGTGTAAGGATTTGATAGTTAAAAACGGTTTGTCAAGCATGGGAACACAAATAGTGTCAATAAATGAATTGTCATGAAAATTAAAACACCAAAATCTGATGAGTAGTGAATGTTGATCAAATAAGTTTGGACAAATTTCATGACGTGATGACATAACTGGAAACTGAATTGTGATCAGACAGAACATAGCAACAAGAATGAGTAGTAAATTATTTAAGAAATGAATAATGTCAAAACAGAGAAATGAAAAGAAAGGGGGAGGGATGTAGAGATTGAAAAGTAAAACCATGAAGGGAGAAGGGGTTGAACAATCTTCTTTTGCGTAAACAACTAAGGTTTCTCCATATGGATAGCAAGAGTTTCGGTAATTCAGATAATACGAAGACATACAACCTTTGAAAGGGTTCTTTTCACCTTACAGATGACTTTGAACGAGGAGGTTCTTGAGATAGAGTGATTCGTGCTCATGATCTGTTCCATTATAGGACCTCTTATCACTCCACTGTTACCTCTTTGTAGCCGCGCGAGATAGTACTTTTGAACCCTTTTGGATAACAGTAGCATCAAACGACCTATATACCTGGCTCCACAACAGCAGGTGAATTGATGCATGCACATAAAAGTGGTCAGATGTGAAAGTTTCTCGAGTTGTTATCAGTCGTTGGGCGTCAAAAGAATATTAGTCCCAGCGTTGATGTAAAGAATGTTCCCTTTAAAGCGTTTGATATCCTCCTTTTTAGTGTCAGAGGCAGAATCACCTTTTAAGTTTAGATTCATACAGAGTATCTTTTTTGGGACGGTGGTAAGGTTATCTTTGGGAGGTTTAGGCTTAATGTGTTTGTCTATGAAGCGTAATGGGAATCCTTTTAAAATCAGGATGCTCTTTAGAACAGGAATTTCCTCTTCTGATACATCAGGACTGCAGATTCGTCTAATGCAAGTGACAAGAGATATGACCAAATTCCGCTCACCGCTGACAGTCAGATATCTTGCACACACCGAAGATAAAGCGCGTTGGCAAATACCGAACGGCCCTTCTGCATCCAAGCTGAGATCACGTCAGGAATCGAACTGTCTCGGTTGATGTAACTCCTTAAGTAAATAAGGTGATCCGATAATACTATCACTTCACTTTATATATTTGAATTGGGAGTGGTTGCAGACTAGTCGTGGAGCATAATCTTACATTTGACGGGTATGAAACGTATGCTAAGCATCCTCAGGTTTCTGTTTAAGACAATCGGGAGGCCTTGTATTCATCACCAACTCCACCTGACAGGATAAGATATTTCAATAAAATTCATGGTATTGGTCGGTATAACTCCCGCTTCCACTTATATGATACTCACTTAATGCGAGATCTGAAACAGTTTACTATCGGTTTTATTAACTGTCCCTCATAAACGAAGAATTTGTTAGGAAGTTAAGCTATGGAAACAGTTTCTAAGCTCACTTGAGTGATGAATGTGGATATGCATATTGTATCCAATTTTTTGACGACATGTTCTTAATTTCTGAAGAACGAACGAAACGTGCGCAACTATCTTGTGCATATTTGTGCATTAGGCAATGAGTCATACCTATTATATGAAGGCCTGTGATGTTACCTGGCTGAGCAAACCTGGGCGGAGCTCACACCTATGACCCACTGGTTGACAGTCATCTCCTTAAACCATTGAATCACAGCTCCACTTAATTTCTGAAGGCTTAAACTAGTCATCAAAAATACGTCGAACTTTCATTGACATATCATAGATGAATGTTAGAATCAGAGTAACCCATAATTTCGAATGCATCTCCTGTGGAGGAAAAGATCATAGCATAATGAATGTTGTAATGATCCCTGGAGTGAGTATTTTTTGAATCATAGCAGATTTAACTGAATGAACTAAAAGCAAGAGCTAACGTGTTCTCCTCTTAGTATTGTGATGACATGGTTTATGACATTATTATTATTTGTCCCTTGAGTTCCTAGTGGAACTTAGGGCCTCAGTAGCAAGTCTCTATTTTACCGTCTTCTCTCCAGTCTTTTGAAGCTCACTCGACTGCCCAGAAGCTTTCATTCTCTCCCCACATGATCTTCATGTCACCCTCGGACGCCAAGCTAGTCGTTCCCCCTCTGGGTTCCACTCGACGGTCAGGCCTGGCGCGTGATGTCCCCAGTCGGCTTTCTCAGTGTATGCCCAATCCAGTCCATCTCCACCCTCATCTTCTGCATATTTGTTGAGCGATAGCTTCTTGGTTGATTCGTCAACAGGCCAGAGTTCCTTGTTGCTTATTCTTATTATTCTGGCCATCCGATCTGATCTGATCTTCAATATCGAGCGAGTGTAGGCGGCAGCTGTTGATAAATGTTTTTAGTTTGTTGGAAATGCTTTTCATAACGCTCCAAGTCTCTGAACCATCACAAAGAGGCACTGACTTGAATGGATTGGTGTTGAAAATCCGGATCTTGTTCACGCTTCATGCTGAGTGCAGTGCAGTAGATCTCCACACTGGTTTCACATTAGTGAAAGCCTGTCTTGTTGTCTTTCCCTTCCTGGTTTCGACATCCTCATCTGTGACACCCGTAGTTGAAATGATGCTGCCTAATCAGGTGTAGGTGAAGGAGACAACTTCCTCTAGACTTATCTCGTTGATGGTGATTCGTGCTTGTCGTCATTGTTGTTGGTTGGGTATCTTCATCACCTCTATCTTCTCTAGGTTCACCTGAAGGAAGTCCCGTCTTCACTACCTCTTCTGTGAATATGTTAGTTTTCGCCTGTAGATCTTCGAGTTTCTGCAACAAGATATTAGACATGAATCATCATCGGCGAACTCCAAATCTCCTAGGGTCTTCTCACCTGTCGAGTGTATACGCCTCTTCTCCCTCTTCACAGTTTGTTGCATGATCCGGTTCAGTCGACCACAATGAGGAAGATGATCTCTGATAATAGGCAGCCTTGTCTTACTCCCATCTCCACTTCAATGGTGTCACTGAGCTTTCCATTGTGAATCACTTGGCATGTGGTGTATTTATACAGCTGTTGAATGAGGTTGATAAAGGTTTGTGGTACAAAAACCGTAGTGTTGAAGCAGTTTCCAAATTACTTCTCGGTCGACGCTGTCGAGGGCCAATTCAAAATCGATGAAGTTGAGGTAAGCTAGGGGGTTGACTGCCATTCTATAATCTGTTCTATGATGATGCGTAGCGTGGTGTTGCGACTGGATCCACACATGATTTGCTTATGGCATATTGAGCTCTAATTTTCTCCGCGCCTTTCTGGTATGGGTGGTAAATTTTTTCATGTATCTGGAACACATGTTGAATCATGACTTTAGCATTTACTAGATGTTTATTCGATAAACCAATATTGGATTATCAACCTCTCCCTCCGACCCGCTATGTTAGTTTCAAGGATTGTCACTTTATCCCAGCGGTTTGTGTGGTTGTGTGCAGTTGCATGCATAGTTACGGCCAGGCTTTTCCCTAAATTCCTTATCTTACTAGGACCTACTAATTTTTACCTATTTAGGTTTATGCTCGGATAGCCTAATTGACCCAGGTCGACTACTTTGACCCATGTATTTGTCTTCGCAATCGTTGCAAGGGATTTGGGAAACTAAGTTGATGTTCCTAACTGGATCAATAGGATCTTTTAACCTACAAAGCTTATTTCTAAGTGAGTTTATTGGTTTACATGCCACTCTAATCCCAGCCTTATACGAAATCTTACATAGGGTCTCTGCGATGTCTTCTTTGTATGGTAATACTGTTGAGGTTTTGAATTCTGTCTTTACAGTATTGTCATTATTGTTATCGTTACCATAACTACTATTATTATTAACATGTGCGTTACTACGATTACTAAGGATTTTTTTCAATTAATACAGGAGGGTAACCGTTGATGAGTAAGACGTCTTTAATGTGTCTGATTTTTTGTTTTAGATCTTCTGTTTTACTAATAAGCTTTTTGGCCCTGTTACTTAGGCACTTTACTAAGCCAACCTTAACTGACATAGGTTAAGACAATTAGAAGTTTAAGTAACGATTACAGTGTACAGGCTTTCTATCGATGCTAGTGTCTAAACTTCTA